TCGATAAAACACTTAAACGCAGGCTGTGAAAAATCAGAGTGGGTCCATCTTAAAAATACTTTCCTTCTCCATGTCCACTAGGAGGAAGAACTGCTATTGGGTGGAAAGGAAAAAAAGTAGGAATGAATGGTTCACGGATTTCCCAAGTTTCACACCAAAAAGGACAGCTACATCCTGTGCTTTCAGACTAAAACCGAAGCTTTCTTACTTCTAGGGATGCTTGTCTGCCAAGAAAGCTGGCACTTGAACAGATCTGCCACTGCGCCAGTCCCAGACGTTTTCCTCTTTACTCAGATGCAGAGCAAGAAAGAGAAAGCAGCATAAAAGAATGCTAGTTAATCATAATACTGCACTTTTCTGTCAGAGGTATTGTGGGAAGGAGACATGCACTGTTTCACTGAATAGAAGAGGCTGGATTCTCAAGCAAAGGATTGTTCTGTCATGTGGCCAAACCGTCCTTGCCCTGAGAGCCACCCAATCTGTCTTTCAGATTACAAAATGAAAAAAAAAAAAAAAAGGCCTGCACTGATACAAATAAGCATTTGCATTTTAAACAAATCATTGCTTGTTCCCTTCATTTCACTTTATAAGCTCCAAATGCTACAAAATTTCTGCAGCTTTCAGACATTTCAGAAATGTCTATCACGATTAGAAAATATCCTTGTGTCATATTTGCTACCAAGTAAACCACAAAATGCCTCTATTTTCCTTGCAGGTTATTGGCTTTTTCCTAATCTTTCACAGTGTGATTTATGTTAAGGACTCTAATCTTTCTTCTTTATCTGCCCAGGGCTATTGTTCTTCTCAAAGGTAATGGGGCCTAAAGTGGCTGAATCTGTGACATTGTTCTCTCTCAACACTTATGTTTCACAAATTGCTCTGTTCAGGCACGCATGTTGACATCCTTGAATGATGTTCTTCATGCACCTTCTAAAGGTCACGCTGCCACATAAGTGTTGCTTTGAACTAGGGACCAGTGATACCCCATCAGCGATACAGTTACGCAACAGGCCCCCTGGCTTCGGCTGGTGTCCGGCATGAAAAACAATGGCAGAAGAGTTTTCTTGTTTCAAAACTGCTAACAGGAAAACAAAGTGCAAGGAAGGTTTTTGTTTGATTGTTTAGTTCATGGCTGTTGGTTTTGGCAGAACTGTCATTTCAACTGAGTCACACGAGGGGCAGGACAGATCCCAATGCTGTATATCTATCACCTTGCTGCTCCTTTGGGGTTGCCCAGAGAAGTTTTATATCTGTTTCTGAACTTATAAAAGTGACAAAAAGAGATGCTTATATTACTTTTGGTGTTAGTTATTCCTCGACAACATCATGGCCTATATTGTTTTTTTAAGGGCGGAAGATGTTCCTGAATGACCATCTGTGTTG